ACTGGGTGGTAAGCCTTTGGTAAGCGGATCCGCAAGTACTTACTCGGTACTTATATGCTCAATGCTTTTAAAATGATTCTAGATTTTCTCCTTTCTAATATATACCTTAGTGTCAATGTGTTTGGCAGCACACTTGACTTGTTGTCTTAGGAGTTAACTTACTTTAAATGGTTATTGCTGTTGTCTATCATTGTTAAATCTGGTTACATATTCCCTTAACCTCCTTTTGCTTGTTCCTTAAGCCTCATGACAAGCTATACTATGGTATGCATCACTGATGACACCACAACTGTTTCTTTGGAGCTTTTTCACAATAATACTTCAACTGCGAGTGTTAGAAACTGCTGTGGATTTCACTACATATCTCGCCAAGACTTAACTTTTTGTACCCTCAACTATTCAAGAGTACTTATTCTTTCTTACTTAGCATGAGGTCTATGATACTTTACAAAATTGCAAGACATTCTCAATTTAATTTCAATGATCTATATCTAAACTGGACTTCTGCCAAAATATCCCGGATACATAACTACGTCAGGATAAGTTCTTACTTGTACTTGTACACACATCAAGCTTTCAACAGCTAAAGCATATGGAACAATGTTCATTTGAGCGATCTCATATCGGTTCCTGAAACACTTAAAGTTTCCAAATCTATTACCCTTGACTATAGGAGCAGACGTAGGTTTACTCGCATATATACCTTGGCCCCATTTGGGCGGGCTCCCGCGTGCTTTGGCTCCTACACTGTAGCAACATTGTAGCCGGAGCCACGGGAGCCAGAAAAACGAGCTTCTCCGGCTCCGGTGGTGTCAGTGAGAGAGGAAACTGAGGAGAGAGAAAAACGGCTTCGATGAACAGTGCATGAACAGTGAATCGACGCGGGAGCCGGAGCCGCCCAGAGCCCGGCCAAACGGGGCCTTTATTTCTGTAGAATCTTTTCTAAGTATGCCTTTGCGATAGTCCTAATACCCCATTTTCTTCTATCTCGGTGAATTTCGATTCCTAGAATCAATGACGCTTCACCAAGATCATTCACATTGAAACTTGAGGACAAAACTACTTCTTCTTCAATGACAGATTAACATCACTACTAGTAAGTAGAGTGTCATCTATTCACAGGATATGGAAAATGAATTTTCCATCCTTGAACTTCGCATAAACGCTATTGTCCTTCTTATTTTCTTTAAAACCCAAACTTTCTCATTGTTTTCATCAACTTCAAATACTACTGTCTAAAGACTTACATTTAACCCATAAATGAATTTCTACAGGCGGCATCCCATATGTTCTTTTCTTCCACGACAAAACCTTTTGGGTTGTGCCATGTAATCGTTTTCATATAAATCCCTGTTGAGGAATGTTGTCTTTATATTCATCTGATGTAACTCTAAATCGTAATGTGCCATGAACACCATTATGATTCTAAAAGAATTCTTGCATAAGACTGGAGAGAAAACTCTCATTGTAATCTATTTATTTTTCTTTGCGTAAAGCATATTGCTACAAGTCGTACTTTCTATCTTTCTACATTCCCCTTGAAGTCACATTTTGTCTTGTAGACTCATTAATAGCCTACTATTTTGGCTTCATTAGAAATTACTTCTAAGTCCCAAACATCGTTGATATTTATTGAATTCATTTTAACTTTATATCTTTCTACATTCCCTTTGGAGTCACATTTTGTCTTGTAGACCCATTAACAACCTACTGTATTGGCTCTATTAGGAATTTCTTCTAAGTCGCAAACATCATTGGTATTCATTTCAATTTTCATAGCTTCTAGCCATTTAAACGAGTAAACGCTTCTCATGGCTTCTTTAAATGAGGTGGGATCACCCTTCATTTAAATTTCTTTGCTAACATAGACTTTATAGTCATCAGAAAACTGGTTTACTAATTCTTTGAGACCTTCTAGGCCTCATCTACTGGCACTTTCATATGGGGCTATTGTTGCTCTTCATTGCCAAGAGGCAATTGATTCTACAGGCTCCTGTATTATAAGATCCTTGTTTATATTTTTCATCTTCTTTGAAAAGCCAACAACAGGTGTTGTATAAGTCATACAACATCAACAGGTATTGAGAGATTCGTTGTTTTTGAATCACTGAAGTGGGCATGCAGTCCCACTTCTCTTCAAGTCTTAGGTCTCTACATACCTCTACATACCATGCTTCCCTAGATAATCCGTTAAAATCTCATATGACGCTTTAAGCACCATCTTAACATCTTTGAGACTGACTACACTATTTTCTTGTCAGAACTTTAAAAGGTCCAGAAATTTAGCTATTTCTCTGCTTAGGGGTATCGTTGTTGTGACCGTTGTACTCCTCCATCGATCGCATACATGTTAATTAATCTTTATCTCACTCTTAATGATGGGTATGTTTCTTAATTAAAAACTTTATCTTACTCTTAATGAAGAGTATTTTTCTTAATTAATCTTAATATTCTCCCCCTCGAAATATGGCATGAACTTTACTGCCATAATTTCGATAACTATTCAAAAAGCCTGTAAACGAGGAGACACTTTTAACTTACTTCATTCACATGATTGTGTCATGTAAACAAAGTTATTTCTTGATCCGTTTATGAGTACACTTTCCTTAATTCACTTTAAGAACTCAACGAGGTCTTTCATTAGCAGTGCTTTTGCAAGTCACACTTGCATCTTTTCTTATCTTTTGGTTAGTATTGACCATGACGATGCATTTTATTGTCCCAAGGTCAATACTAGGACAGCATAAGAGCTACCCAAACTTCTCTCGCTATGCGGAATACAAAACATGTGAATCATCAAAAAAAACTTCTCCTGCCATGCATGATTGACTAGCATAAGTACTATGCCAAAACTTCTCCCCATGTAGGATACATCTATACGAAAACTTAGTCATGACGACTAAAACTTCACTTATACTTTATTTTCCAATTAAATCTTCCTGTTGGTTCTAATTTAATCAGAAAAATAGTAAACTAACAAAAACTGTCCTGAGCTGGCTTGACTCAAGCCTTTTCATTAACATACCCCAGCATTACAACCCATTGACATGCAGCCGAGTGATCTCGTCCGTTAAAATAAAACATACAATATGCTTCTACATCACCGTTGGGCGGAAAATAGAATTAATGCATAAAACTCATAAATTAACTTGAAATCCATATAACTACTCTTCAAAATTATATTCTCCCGTTGGTTCAAATTTAATTAGAAAATAATCAACATCATTGCAGCGAAAACTTAATAATGAAATACATTCTTTTAGTTCAGGAGCATTTCTTAGTCCGTATCTACTATCTAGAAAATTCACCACGTTGGTATAAAATTTTCCAGAGATTTAAACTTCAAACTTCAATTCGTTATAATATTGTCATCATCAACGTTGGTCAGAAAATAACAATACCATAATCTTACTTAAACAAAAAAATAGATTGCTCCTCTAATTAAATTTTTCCGTTGGTTCTAATTTAATTAGAGGATCAACATAATCATAATTTACTAAATATTACTACTCTTCAAATTAAATTCTCCCGTTGGTTTGAAAGGTTCAAATTTAATTGAAAGATAATAAACATTAAACTTTGCAGCGGAAACATGAAAAATTCTTTATCTACTTTTCAGAAACATTTTACTTTACTCATCTACTCTCTGAAAAATTATCCTGTTGGTTTAAATTTTGATAGAGATTCAAAATTTGACAAAATTCATCGAAATTTGCTTCTAAAAATTGTTAAAACTGCTTTTGAAAATAAATAAAAACTTAAAACATTAGCAACTGTTCATTTGGCCTGGCCTATGGAAAAACAGCACGCGGCCTAGCCCAACCGCAGCAGCACGCGGCCCACTCAGTGAAATCGGCCCACGCCGATCGTGCGCGCCGCCCTCCCCCACGCCCAGGCCGTAACCTGGGCCTGGGCCAAGAATTTGGCCCACAGCGCGCGCCCCCGCACCACTCCGCCTGGGCCAGCTGCCGGCCCAGCGAGGACTGGCCGTTGATCTCGAATCCGATGGTGGGGCGTTGATCTCGGCGGAACAAAACCCCGCGGCACCGACCTTTCCCTGAACCCTAATCTCATTTCCTCCCTCCCCTTCTCTCTCCTCAGCGCCACAGTGACAGAAAAGACAACGGCGCGACGGCATCGCGTGGCGGCCAGAGAGAAGGAAGACGGCGGCACGGCTGCGGGGCCCCTCGCCGGCGCGCACACTCTCCCTAGGCTGGGTGTGCCGTCGTCGAGTGGCCTTGCGGTTGCGCCTTGGATCTCGAGCCCGCACATCAGAGACCACGCGGCGGCGCGGCGAGATCTCGGTGAACATTCCGCGCGGTGGCGGTGGTGACAGCGACGAGGTCCAGGTAGGTCCCTCTCTTCACACTGTCCTCTTGTCGGTTAGGGTTACGTATTCGTGGGGATTCCTAGGGTTCATCCGAATCACCTTCTTCTAAAAGCTTCTTGCTTTCTACCCTAAAGAATAGATCTATACTTAGACCTGGCTCTGATACCATTGTTAGTAAAATATGATCATTAGGAGCATAGATCTAGCCGGTAGAATGGTTCTATTCGGGATAAAAGATATAGTGCATCCTAGTACATGTAGAACTAGAGAGACAGATAGGGAAGGGAGAGAGGTGAGACGTCACCGGTCATCGGAGGGTTTGGCAGTGGAGCTGGAGCCGTCCATGGCGATGTCGGTGATGCTGTGAAGTCCGAAATGGTAAAGGCGGTGGTGCGGAGGTGGTGCTATCTCGATGACAACGAGGCAGTGGGTCTTCCCGTCACTGGCAGCGCCGCTCCCTCTAGATCAGGTTAGGGTTTCTCTGTAGGTGGGTTGCGGCGGCTCAGGTCAACCTCGTACCTTGTGCCTCGGCCCCACCTTCCTTTTATGGTGTTGTGCGATGGGGGCCACCAACCATGGAGCGGTTGGACGCCCACGATCAGGGCGTGGATCCAAGGGCCCAATTGGCCGTTGGGCTAATTGGTCGAGATCAAACTAACACTTACTGCCCTCACACCTCGTCCTCCCAGTCATCATCGCTGTCGAAATCGCCAAATGCAGCCTCCTCACTGCAACAAAAATTTAGATAAAACAGGTTGCAATGCAACATCACCAACAACGCTAGAACCCCTCGATCATCAGCGTAAACAAGCACAAATCGAAATCAAGCGGTGCGCGCTCACCATTGTTGCATGTGGTCGGTGCTGCTGCTCCCTACGAGGCGGAGGGTGCGCTTCCCCTCGTTCTTCCTGTAGGCGGACATCGCAAGCAAGCACCACAGATCAAAACAATCAAAATCACCAAAACAATCCCCACAAAATTCACCGTCGCGCATGCGTTTCAATTTTCAACCAACACGAGGAAACAAGGAGAGCAGAGCAACAAGAGAGGTACCTGTGGCGTGTGCGGTGGCCAACGAGGGGTCGTCGGTCGAAGGGGGGCTTGAAGCGGGTGTAGCGAAGTTCGTCGTTGTCGTAGTAGTCGTAGTCCACTGCCTTGTCCATCTTCGCGAGATAGCGCTTGACGTTCTTCATGGCGTAGCCGCCTCCCCCTCTCGCCTTGGACCAGGGGATCCCGCGCGGGTGGAAACCCTAGGCGACCTCTAGGAAACAGGGGCTCCCGTACCCCCCCTGTAGCAGCGATTGCAGGCAACAAAATCAAATCCGTGAGAGACAAATCAACCAAGCCAAATCCATGAGAAATCAAACGAAACATTCAAACCAAATCCCCGAGAAATGAGCAACAAACCAAATCCGTGAGTCCGTGAGAAACGAAACAACCAAATCAAAATGAAAGCACATTAGGATGATCGGAGACGATCGAGCAGCCGGCAGCGTACTTACATCTATAGTACAGCACCATGGGTGAGGGGAGGAGCGGACTCGGTGGGAAGCCGAAGGCTAAGACGATGGGTGGGTGGGTGCAGAATCGGTCGGCGAGGTGGAACGGGATGCAAGGTGGCAGAGGGAGAGGGGGTTTTGTAGCAGACGCGGTGTTCTCTCTCTCTCTCTCTCTCTGTGAGCGCGTTTGCGGATGCAGGGGCTGAGGGCAGGAGGAGGTGATGTGGCCTGTATGGAGCAAGAAGACACGGGCTCACTCTTGGGTGTTCTTTCTTCTCACACAAGACAGCGGAATGTGCGGGAACTATCAGTAGGATGGCTATTGGCTACAAAATTTAGACAAGCTTGGCAAAATTCATTTAGCATTGTATGTCATCCCGTAAAAATGTTTGGCAAAATTCATTAGCCATCATAAATTGTATCACTCCTTCCTAAATTATAAGTCGCTTTGACTTTTTTTAATATATTAAATTTACTACATATCTAGACATACGCTATATCTAGATATATAACAAATTCGATGTACCAAAAAAGTCGAATCGACTTATAATTTTTGAAACAGATTGAGTAGCTCTAAAATTTCTAACCACACTTTTTGTGATTTTTTCACACTTGCATATGGTTAGTTTTTGTAAAATGCTGGTTAGGACTAAACAGCTTCTTAGTGGATAACTTGTGGGCTTAGGGTGTATGGTCCCACAGTTTTGGGCTCTCAATTTTTTAGATAGAAGTAGATAAAAGGTAGAAATATATACTACAAATATCTTTTATAGAGTCGCCCGAGTACCATTTCGGATAAGTAACCTGACTCAATATACTAGTGTAAAACACAGAGTGTAAAACAATAAAAACAAAAACAGGGGACAACAAGCCCGTCGTGCTAGAACCGAGCCATCAGGACGTCGCTCATCATGGATCCTCGAGAGAGGATCTCGCTGGAGCCATGAAGATTCGTTGGTCGCTGCTCAAAGTTGATGCTCCTCGTCCAGCCTGGCCACTTTAGTCTTTTGTAATTGCAAGCCAACGTCACTCCACACCGATCACCATAGATCTAGCTACGTCAGCCTCATCCTCTACCGAGCTAGTGTATATCTCTCGAGACTTGGGAGAGAGAGAGGGGGAGCAGAATAAACGATGATGGCGATGATGATTCACGCATTAGAGATGTAGAAGTGATCTCACCGGCCCAATACCACTTTGGCCTCATTGGCGGTGGTGGATAAGGCACGGTATAGATCCGCTGCCTTGGCTTCGTCGTGCGCCACCGCTAGATCTCCTAGGGAAATGGGAGAAGGACGATCTAGCTAGATCCATTATCACCTTGGCCTCGTTGTGCACCGCCACCTTGGCCTTATTGTGGGGTGTGGGGGGGCAAAGAAGGAGCAAGGGGCATGTGAGGTGGACGATGGGCGGGAGTGTGCAAGGTGAAGGAACAAGTGGAGGACTGCAGGGTGCCGAAGGAGGGTGCATGGGCATGCAAGAGATAATCGGGTGTAAGGGGGAGGCTTGGGAAGAGGGGGCAATTCAATTATGATGGAAGTGTTGAACCAGCTTGGCTTATTAGTGTTTCCAATGAACTAGGGCCTCTTTTTGTTGGCCCACTTCTGTAAGTTAATCCTATTTATAGGGCGGTTTTTATAACCTATCTATCTTCGTAAAATGGATCCAGTGCCTCCCAAAATTGCTGGGATCTTTGAAGACAATAATTTTTGGCTCACCTCTATTATTTAGAGGGCATGTCTCTAGAAATTTATTAATACATAGTAGTGATAAGTAGTGAGCACATGTTCTAGTAGTATTGAGGTTTGGGCCTCGGCTTTCACCATTTCAACCTTTGATGTCTCCTACGACCTTGAACTACCATCTTAGTTTTATTCTGATTTTCATCCTCAAACTCCAAAACTAGACATCTTAACCCTCCCCCCTCCTCAACTCTTCAAAACCATTTAAATTACCTTTCTACCCTTTAAAGTGCTTTTCTAGAAAGTTTCATCCTTTTTAGTAAAAAAACCCAGTAAATATCATATAGGGTTTTGAAACCATAAAAATTGTCTCTAAGCTTCTAAATAATTCCAATAAAAATCCTAGAAACATCAAACATATTATGACACAAGGAAAACCCAACTAAAATATTTAGAACTATTGAAAGCATATCTTAAAAGCTTCCAAAAGTTATGTTTAAGTCCATGAAAATGGTTAAAATATATCTAAAAAAATCTAGCAAATTCCCAAAACCTTTCAACCATTCTGTAAACATGCTTTTGAAAATTTTGCACAATAAAAACACGAAATATAACCAGCATAAATATATTCAACATCAGTATTTTGCATTCTTGTTGGTACATCTTATATTGTTGTTAATAAAGTTTCTAAACACATTTAAACATCATTAGAATATTTTGTGATTTTCATATTTTTATGGACATTTTTCCATTTTTATAGAGCTATAAATATAATCTTTGGAAGCTTTAATAGATATTTTCATGAGCTCTAAATATTTATCTTAGTTTTTATCCTAATTATATCTCTATATTTTTCTCGAAATTTTAAGAAGACCAAAAACTTTTTTACGGTTTAAACATTTTTAGGAATTTACCATATTTTAAAAAAAGAGGAAGCCACCTCGAAAAACACTTCTAACCTAGGATGAGTGACCGCAAACAATTCTACCAATCACAGAAGCACCGAGCCTATGAAAGCATGAACTATGAAGTAATGAATCATGAGATAATAAATCTCAAGTAAAGTGTAAAGATAGGCTAACGGCACATGAAGTTTAGAAACAATCTCCAAAAGGTCTTTTTTTCTTTCACCGGAAGCGTTAGAGAACAATATGACATCACGAGGACATTTGTAGTGCTAAATTGGAAAGAGCAAAAATTATTACAGGCCAATCTAACACTCACTATTTTTTTGGGGTGGGGGGGGGGGGGTTTGCATATGCACCCCCATACATCAAGATGGCAACGGGTACCCGAAACCTGAGTACCCGACGGATTTTACCCGATAAGGAGACGGGTATGGAAGATATTTTACACCCGCGGGTATGTTATTGGACGAATTCTTGTACCCATCGGGTATGCGGGTACGGGTGTGGGTGTATACTACCCATACCCGCATACCCGCGGGTAAAAAAACCCGCATAAATAATATCCAACCTCTGCAATTTTAGCCCATATAAACATATAACCCATATTTAGCCCATATAAGCATATGAGTATATATATTCTAGAACTCTCTCAAACCCTAATCCTCATCCTCACTCCACTCCACCGGCCCATATTTCTGTTTTGCTGTTCTATTGTTGATTTGTTTTGCTGGAAGCTATTATATTTTGGTGTGTGAACTCGGATATATTGTCGGGTAAGAATTACCCGTCGGGTAAGAATTACCCGTCGGGTGCGGGTATGGAATGAATTTTCTACCCGCCTGCGGGTACGGGTAACCCGACGGGTAAGATTTTAATCTGACATGTGCGGGTACGGGTGGCCAGTACCCATCGGGTACGTACCCGTTGCCATCTTGACCCATACACAAGGCAGCTTTGCCCTTGCTTAACCGGATCAACCTGTGGGTGTGCTTGCTCGGCATGTGCCTCCGCCTCGGTCGCACGACTCCGCTGCTACCCACCGATCCAGGCCGGATCAACTTTTGGGTGTGGTCATTGGGCATGTACCTCCGTCTCGGTCGCACGACTCTGCTGCTGCCCACCAATCCAGGCTGCAGGTCAAGTGGAAGCACCACCGATCCAGGCTGCAGGTCGGGTGGAAGCTGATCGCCATACATTGCCTCCGCACGACCGCACACTTTTGCTAACTCTCCAAAGAATGCAACGGAGAACTAGTGAAGGGACAATGCAACAGAGAAGAGGATTCTCTTAGTCAGTTCACTTTTCAATCGAAATGTCATGCAACTACTAGGCACTAAAGTCCCACTAGCGCATAAGGCGTTGGCGTCCTGACTCACATACACCATTTTAGGACTCGCGTAAACATTTCTGCTGGGCCTGAGTTGTCTGGACCAATACGTGGTTTCGTGCTGGATGAGATTGCAGCCTGACAATCTTCCATTCAAAAACGGCAAAAGAAATCAGCGAACAAGTCTACCAATCACATAAGCACTGACCCTATGAAAGTATGGACTATGAAGTAATGAATCACAAGATAATAAATCTCATGTAAAGTGTAAAGATAGGCTAACAACACACATACCGTGTTTGGATCTTAGTCCTGTCACATCGGATCTTTGATACCAATTAGAATAATTAAACATATGTTAATTACAAAACTAATTGCACAGATAGAGACTAATTTAGGAGATAAATATATTAAGCTTAATCAGTTTATGATTTGACAATGTGGTGCTACAGTAAATATTTACTAATGATTGATTGATTAGTCTTAATAGATTAGTCTCGCAAACTAGCTCAAGGCTTCTGCAATTAGGCCCTATTTGGATCCTATAGCAAAACTTTAGCCCTGGACTTTTACCATGAGGATCCAAACAGAGGGCTAAAAGTGAGCAAATGGCTAAAAGCTGGGTTAAAATCTTTTGCTTCCAAAGAGGCCCTAAATTGGGCTAAACTCCCTCGGGGTGGGTGCTGGACGCTCCATACCTCTTGCCGCTCGCATGCATGGCTTTGCATGGATAATTAAATGAGGGCAAATCAATCATTATAGATTAGAGGACTAAAGTTTAGCCCACGGATCCAAACAGCACAGCAGGACTAAACTTTAGGGGCTAAACTTTAGTCATGGAACTAGTAATCCAAACACCACCTTAGTTTTATAATTAGCTTATATTTAGTCCTCTTAATTAGCATCCGAACATTCCATGTGACAACTAAACTTTAGCCAAGGATAAGACACACCCTTAGAGCAACTCCATTGTTTCAGCAAACCGAACGGTGCTCCTCGCTGGACGTTGATTTTCGAGCTAACTTGGCTTGGTGCCGGAAATGAAATCACGGCAAGAGACAGGGCTAATGGTTTGGTTCTGTCTACTATATTTAGTATATCTATATTTAGTACATCGAACCAATAACACTGCGGACATCGAACCGAGGGAGGTGAGTGAAAAATCACATCTTGTTTTCACCGTGGGGAATAAAATATTGAATTACAGCGACGGGCTTACCTGCACATACGCCTGAGGCAAAGCAAACATACTGTGGATCCACTAATCGACGCTCACACGCTAGGGAGGAAGAACCGTCCTCAGCGTCGATTTTCACAAGACAGGCAGTCATGGCAGCACTGGAGCTGCCCTTAGAAACAGTCTCCAAAAGGTCTCATTTTTCACTTGAAGCGTTAGAGAAAAAATCTGACATCACGAGAGCATTTGTAGTACAGAATTGGAGAGAGCAAAAATTATTACAGTTACAGGCCAATGCCTTCCTTGCTTTGCAGAGATTCCAGAATTGTAAAAGGTGTTCTAGTGCTATGCACTATGCAGACGTGCAACTAAACTATTCCAACGCCCAAAGCCAAAAGATTACCACGAACTGTATTACTCTTCACTTGCTGATTCGGTCGGTGTGCTGCAAAGAAACAGAGCATGGATTGTTGTCAGAATCATCGAAGTTGTCACGCATAATCAATAGAACAAAGCCAATTCGAAACATGTCCTGAACTTCTAATGCTCATCATGCCTAAATTTGATAGTTCTAACAGATAGGAGTGGTCAATGGCAAAGGATTCAGAATTCTTTCACACCCAACACATATTATATGATGGGCGTGAACATAGCTAACTAAAGTGTACGCGTATCAGGAATTAAAAACAGCCACCTCACTGGGTTAATGATGGATGTGTATTAAGAACTGAAAAATAACCATTATTAATGGAAAGACAAAACAGAAGCATGGAACCAAAGGAAAGATATCTAGTAAACCATTAGAGGCAGCAATTTTTTCATGTGATCAGTAAATATAGTACCAACAGAGGTAACCTTCAGGTTCTAGTTTATACTACAGAACTAACAGGAGGGATAAATGTGCAAAAGAACAAACAAGCTCTGATGTAATTTCGGGTCAGTAAAAATATGTATGCAGAATGATCTGATATGATAGCAACATGAAGGAAATAAAGATCAACAGAGGCAAACTGGTAGTCACAGTTCGTCAACTCTGCGTCTGCTATGCTATATCAGCAGTGTTTGCAGTTTCCACAACCATGCAATGACACCTCCAGCCTAAGTTGTATATACAAACAGAGAAATCTTTCGCAAAAAAGTTACAAATGAAGACCACAGCAACAATTCTGTAATGCAGTGGAAGAAATAACCGTGCAAAAATTTAGGGCAAAATGCAGTCTGATCTGATCAATAAGTACATTGCAGGATAATCTAATACAGTGGTATGATGAATAGAAAGGAAATGAGGACCAATACACCCATTTGTTTCTAGAAAGAAGGACAGATACAAGAAACCTAGACTGGTGTCGTCAGACCAATATCAAATCATGGCAAACTCTGAAAAATTAATGTCCACTATTTCTATTTTTTGCACTAATTTAGCAGTCAGAGACCAAGTAACCATTATGTGCTGCACAAGAATACATGGTGATCTCAATTCCATACACTTCGTATGTTCGATTTCTCTGGGTATTGTCTCCAGTTCAAATTACAAACTACCACTGAGATGCAAATGCAAAACTGTAAACACATTGTTGCTCTGATGACTGATCAAATACAAAGCTGTAGTTACAGTTAAAAAATGAGACCTAACTGCTGTTAAAAGTGTATTTCCATAGCAGAAAAGAAAAGCCATAAGTTTACTCTATCTTCATTTGCTGCTAGAGACAAATCATAAAGAAACTAAGCTCAAAATTCCAATTGTTCAACATTATTGTCCACTATCTCGAAGTTTGGCAGTAGCATAGCATACAGACCCAAAAGCCATTATGTGTTGGACAAAAACAATTAGCGATATGCATAATCCCCCAGTTCAAGTTCTCTATGGATCATGCACAATCCAAACAACCACACAGATGGAACAAAACTTGTAACACTATTACTACTGATCAAACAAGACAAAGTTATTTTGACAAAAAACAAAGTAAAACACTCAAAGGCTAGAAAGAAGATCACATCTTCACAACCTTATAGCCCTCGTACTCCTCGTCTTCCCAGTCATTGAAATCGCCAAATGCAGCCTCTTCACTGCAATGAATGAGCCGTAACAGACAGCAACATTAACAACAAAAGCTAAAATCACACGATCGTCGACACAAAACCGAAACGAGCAAATCTAAGTGGCGCACCATTGTCGCATGTAGTCCGGGCTGCTGCTCCCGACGAGGCGGAGGGTGCGCTTCCCCGCGTTCTTCCTGCACGCCGACGACGCAAACACCACGAATCAAAACCATCCAAATTAGTACCAAATAAATCCCCCAAACTTTATCGCCAAGCGGGCGTTACAAACCAACAAGCAGGAGCGCAAACATCCAACACAACATACCCGGGGTGCGGACGGCGGCCGATGAGGGGGCGGCGGTCGAAGGGCGACTTGAAGCGGACGTAGCGGAGGTCGTCGTCGTCGTAGAAGTCGAAATCCACCGCCCTGTCCATCTTGGCGAGATACTTCTTCACCTTCTTCACGGCGACACCGGCTCCACCCCTGGCCTCGGACTTGGGGATTCCGCGCGGGTGGAGGCCCTGCACGACCTCGAAGAACCCAGCGCTCCCGTATCCATCTGCAACGCCCGCCCGCACACCGATCAGGGCAAGGAACAAAATCCGGAGGAACGAGCAACCAAACTAAACTTAAAAGCAAATTTCCTAAAAGGAAAACTAGATCAAAAGCACATTAGGATGATCAGAGGCGCTTGTGTAGTGTAGCGTACATCTCTCGTACGAGGCCATGGGGGAAGGGGAGCCGGGGAGGTGGCCGGCTTGGTGCGGAAACCTAGCAGCCGACGCGGCGAGGTGGGGTGGTTGCGGTCTTGCGGAAGTGGTGAGGCGATCAGTTGCAAGACGGTGTTGCGGTGTTTTCTGACACGGGTGCAGGGGGTTTTAGCAGAGTCTTTGTGGGGAATTCTTTCTTCTCAGAGAAGACAAGACAGCCAAATGCGCCGGAAGCCCAGAACACTTTTAAACTTTGTGGGCTCAAATAGCCGGAAGGAAATGGGTGAAAACAGATACCGGGTGTTTGGATCCATGTCTAAAAATTAGCCCATAACCTTAATGGACCCTGGTACTGGCGCGGCGAAATGCAAGTGGTGGGGTCAGGACTCAGGAGGGCGGCAGGGCGCTCACATGTAATGGTTTGGGCCTAAATCGTCATGGGTATACTTTAGTTCTGTGTGGGGTGGGTCCAGCCTGGATGGCCCAAATCGGGTCATGTTCAAAGCAACGCACGCGGCTGCCTCTGCATAGGACGCATCCGCCACTTCTTCGGCATTTCCTCACACTTCGCGCGCCGCCGCCGCCACTCTCCGGCGTCGGCTACTCGGCTCCGTCCCCCCACCAGGCAGCAGACCACCCCACCCCAATCCCTCTCTTCCTTCAGAGATGCAGAAGGTTCGTCTCAAATGGGTGAAGAACCGGGGCCTGGACCACCTGATCGAGCGCACCACCTCCATCCGCGCCTCCTGCCTGCTGCTCGACCACCTCTCGCGACTCCCCGGCTCCTCCCCCGTGCCGGCGCGCTCCCTCGCTCGCCTCCAGAAGCCGCTTGGCCTCACGGTGCCTGTGCTCCGCTTCCTTCGCCGCCATCCCACGCTCTTCTCCGAGCAACCGCACCCTCGGTTCCCCACGCTGCCCTCCTTCTCCCTCACGCCCGCGTCACACACCCTCCTGGCCCGCCTCGCCGATGCCTCTGCGCACGACGCGCACCTCCGCCTCGCGCGCCTCCTCCTCCTCACCCGCTCCAGGTCGCTCCCGCTCGCCTCCGTGCTCCCGCTCCGCTTCGACCTCGGCCTGCCGTTCAACTTCGCCGCCGTGTTCCCGGCTTCCCACCCCGGTGTCTTCGCCGTCGCCAATAACCGCATCTCCCTACGGTCCGCCTCCGGCCTCCCCGAGGACATCGCCGTCTCCTCTCTCCAACGCCGCCACGCCGCGGCCATCGACTCCGCGACCTACCGCGCGCTGTCCCGACCGCCGTCCTCGTCAAGCGCCCCGCTCGCGTTCCCGATGCGATTCCCGCGGGGGTACGGCGGGATGAAGAAGGTCAAGGCCTGGATGGATGAGTTCCACCGTCTTCCCTACATCTCGCCGTACGACGACGCGTCAGGGATCGACCCTGAGAGCGACATTTACGAGAAGAGGAACATCGGCTTGCTACATGAGCTACTCGGGCTAACGGTGCACAAGATGGTGCGGAGGAACGCCATCCGGCTTCTTCGGGAGGAGCTGGGCCTGCCACACAGGTTCACTAGGCTGTTCACGCGGTACCCTGGGGTGTTCTACCTGTCGTTGAAGTGCAAGACAACGACTGTGGTGCTTCGTGAGGGGTACGAGAGAGGGAAGCTCGTGGAGCACCATCCCCTGGCTGCTGTGAGGGACAAGGTGCATTATGTGATGCGCACTGGAGTGCTGTACCGCGGAAAAGGTTTGTCCAAGCTTGTTCTGGATGAGGATGGCACTGAGGAAGAGGGTGCACTGAATGGAGAGGAATTTGAAGGGGAGGGAATGGACGAGGATGCTGATGTTGAGTGCTTCGGAATGGAGATTGTGGATGACGATGGGCCTGTTGATGATGTGGATGATGAAGGTGATAGTGATGGTTGACATGGACTGACGATTCTTGCCTTCTTGATTTATGTTTTGCAATTGTGGCTTCAGTCATGAATTACAGTGACTGGGTTTGATTCAACTTTTTAGCGGCTCCAAATGAGAAGTTGAGCAAGTTATTGTAGATTACTGTGAGTATCATTATCTGTTAATACTTTGATATATGCTACATTCATCTGCTTAAGAAGTAGCAAGCTAAATTTAATATATAATTCTTGGTTGGAGAGTTAGAGCATATGTTTATGGTTCTGTATATAGCATGGGGCCCCAATACTTCTATATATCATTTTTTATGAAATTTGAGGCACACACAAAATCGAAAGGGAAATATCTCATCCTTTTTTTATTAGCTAAAGTGCAGTCTCTTATAATAAGGTAAATTTCATTGCCAATTGCCATGCTACCATTCTAGAGATCGGATTTGCTTCATAAGTTCATGCTTTATGGGATTTTTCTGATATTCTGTAGGATAGAACCTTTAATTCTATAGATGACTCTTAGTTGCCATCTAGTGCTTGAGTTACCTTCACTTTTAATCATTTATTGAGGTGTTCAGCCAGAAATAGCTGAAGCCAAAATATAAGGAAGCGTAATTCTCACCTCTATCATCAAAACAATCTCATATCACTGTACCCCTGGCTTATGTGTTGGAGCTTTTGGGAGATGCTTAACCTTCATTACAAAGACACCATGTATCTAGGTAAATAGAAGTTTTCATGTTATTTTTCTAGCTTCGCCCTTGTTTATTTAAACATGCCACCACAGCTTGTTCACTTCAGTGTCTAAATCACACTATAGTGTTGCGGCACAACTAACATTGCCCAACAATCAATTCAAGCACACATTTTGATGTTAGATGTTCTCTCCAAGGTGACAAATTGGTTGGTGAAAAGTTATGCAATGCCCGGGGGCTGTCTTATTCCCTGCAGGTCGAGTTTTTTTTTATGCTATGGCCTTTTTGGCATCTTCAATTGGACCCAACCAACCTAATCCAGTTGGATGTAAATTAAGCCTTGCATGTATTTTACCGATCTGTAGCAATAAGTTGGGGCAAGATTGGAGATAAACTGCTCTTTTAACTTCGAGAATGTAGCCCTTCTGTAATTTCACTCCTTCCATTTAATATATAGGGCTGGTAATGCTGGGTCGTTTGGGAAAAAGATATTTGGATCATTTCAGGTAATTGAAAAGGCCTCACTGTCCTAACCACTATATAGGCTCTGAGCCTCTCACCAATGATGGTCATGGGTGTGGTAATTCGCAAAATTGCTGACCATTGGCCCTCACATCATTCCAGCTAACTATCTTGTCATTGACTCAGGAACCCTTGCAATCCTCATAGCAATTTTTGGAAGACAGTGGAATCAAATTTGTGATGTGCACATATTGAATTCGTGTTCTCTGATTTCATTTGTGCCCTTTCTGATTTTAAATTGTGCCAGTCAAGATCTTTTAGTAACATTAAGTATGAAATACCAACAGTTTTACTTTACGTTTGACCTAATGTTGGATGTCAGCCTCTTTTGAAAAATCCTGGAAAGTGTCTCACTGTTCAGACTTCCAAGTCACTTGCATGTGCAGCTAGTACCTTGAGGCTTGAAGGATAGAGAACCATGTGAATATGCTCTTGTGCCTCAAATCAATGCAGTTGATTTAATTCTGCAAGCTTGTAATAGGTTTAACCTTACAAACTGCAATATGTGTGATAAACCAGGAAAAACAGCTTATCAGCACCTTTTCTTCGTTAAACCAAAATCTGTTGGTACTCTGATTTAATGCATGTGTATACTTGTATATGCCTTTCTTGAGTTCATACATTTTGAAAAAAAATAGCACCGGCAGGGGTGGAGGGAGGGGGGCAAAACCTCCCTATGCTAGGTTTACCCCTCTTAACATGATATCATTCTGTTGAACCTAGTGCAGCTGTCCATGATTTATGGTATTATTTATCTTAGCAATCCATTTGTAATATACAATTTACTACTTATTTGAACCACGGTGCATAGGTGGTGATTGGTGAAGTTCACTTGATTATTAGCTGGTGCACCAGGATTTTAAACAGCAGCTACTTTTCACAAAGATCCTTCTGTATGAAGTTTCATTGTTTGTGCTACTGCTTGTCTCCTAGGATGACAGGTTATGCGGTTTGCATACTGTCTTATTCCTTCTTTTGCTCATATTTACTTATGCAGAGTTGCAGACCAACTATGTTGTGGGATTCATTTCCGAAGGGATTACATATTACTATCATGGTAGAAGTAGCAGCACACACCATCTTTGAGGTATTGGTTTTGCATTTAGCTAGTGATATTAAATTCATGATAGGTGCCACCAACATTCCAAGAAGAAAGCAATGGCTAGTGGCCTCTCCATTTATTTCATTTTCTTTTTAGAGTTGTTGGTCCCTGAGATCCGTGTGTAATTTGTTCTAGATTTATTTTGCTGCTTGCATTACTTAATTACTGACTCTTGGTATCGTATTCTCCAACATGCCAAACGCCATGTTTTTTGTGCTCCTTATAAAACTGAAATCCCACTTCATGAAAAATAGGCATTTTCTGCAGAAAACTCTAGCCAGCCTAGTATATCAGATAAACAAGTCATTCACTAACAAAGGAAACCAAAATTGCACGGCAGATCTAGAGGCTGCAACTCCTGCCTGCCGGGCAAGAGCACTAGAGCAACCATGATGAACTGTGAAGCAAATAAGGCACATTCAGGCTAAAGTTTCTCTTGACATGTCATAGTAGCGGTGAAGGCTGCAGGGGAAACCCCTATAGCCTCACGTTCCCACAGCCTTTTTATCAGGCTAAAGTAGCTGGGCATCATAGGAGAGATGAGATGAGATGAGATGCATGCCCCAGAAGACCAGAATTGGACCCTGCGCTTTCCTGGATTCCAATGCCCAGATGGATGGAGGGCCAGGGAAGAGGGAACAACAGGAAAAGGAGGAAACCAATTTGTTACTCGGGTAGACATACTCTATGCCAATTTGCCACGAACTTTGTCAAAAAGAATCAGCCCCTGAGGGGGCCACTGGTTGTTGCTTGAGTAGGGGTAATCCCAATGCCTCATACTAGCTTAACTAGTGGGGACAGCTGATATTAGAATGCAAAGCTAATCATTACATC